TATAGCTTAATACAAATAATAGTTACTGATAGACAATTTTATTAACGTGTAGTTTCGAAAACTTTCATTTATAATTTTGTCTAACTATGGAAGTTAAGAAGAAATATTTTCCGAACTAGTTTCCAGATAGTAAGCGAAAACGTACAAAAAGAGTAATAAGTGGTAATATTAAAACATTTGTGTAACCGACTTCAATATAAATAAAATGAAAACAACATCAATGTAGTCGAAGTCAATTAAATTCGCATTATTAAGGACAACTCAAAAATTACTGGTCAGATCTGATCAAATTGAGAGGACCACATGAGAAGCACCAGCTTGCAAATAAAAAAGAATCATCATAATCGGTTCACCTAAAAAAAAAAACTCTGCGGTAACACACATTAAAAAAAACAGTCGAATTGAAAAACTCCCCCATTTTTTGAAGTCGATTGAAAAAAGTGTGCAACTAATTGTCTATGTACACTATTATTATACGTGTCATTCTTATTTTACTTATGTAGGGTAAATAGTAGTATTTATTATACTGTGGTAGTTGATGCTGATGCAGCCTCGGCGGTGAAACGTTACCAGAAAACGTGATGTTTATTTTTTTATTTTTAATTAAATTTCTCCACTATGTAGAAAAAGAGGAATCACTTTACTAAAAAAAAATTAAGAAATGTATTCTACCTTATTCTTATGTTTTTATAGTTTAAATTAGACATGCGCAATATAAATCTGTCAAAGGAAAAGAGATTTTTAAATCTTTTTGTTAAGACGATTTAAATCACTCTTATGAATCTTCAAATCCAAAATAATTCAGTAATCCAAATGGATCACTCACTCACAGCATCTTTTATTTATCACGTTCTCTAGTTTGAGTAAGATTGATTTGAACTTAAGATGAAAATTATTAGCAGTTAACACACATTACACGTTTCACACAAGTAATTTGTTTAAAAAAAATAATAAACAAGTAACGAATTCTGGAACGATCATAAGTTTACAATTGATTTAACGAAATCTGGCTAGAAAAGAAATAGTTTCTTAGCGAGATTCAATGTAAATATTAGGGATCATAGCACGTGCAAACTTACAAATCATTCTCCGTCTCGTTTTGAGTCACCTAGTCCTGCAATAGGCGTCTCACTCTACATCTTTTCATTCTATTCTTCATAATCAATCTAAAATGAATCTTAGATGTAAAGATTTAAAGATGTATTGAGAAAAAAAAAGAATTTTTTTTTACAAATCCATCCTGAGTCCAGCTAGAGATGGTATCTCTACTTTAAATATAATTTTAAGCAATGATTTATGTATACCTTTGAAGCCCTAAAATTTATCTAGTCTAAATACACTCTAAAGTATAACTGATCATTGAATCGAGTCTATATCTATTCTAGTATATATCTATTATATTATGAGAAGTTTAGAAGCGCCACAAGGACCTGTGCAATCATGAAGCTAATACAAAGGGGAGACGGCATAAGCAACTGTGCACTGTGATTCTAAGTAGGTCCTGACGTCATCATAGTGGGCGTGGCTTAAGTTAGTATACTGTCAGCATTCGTCCTGTGCGCTCATGTGTTGAAAAAATCGTAAATCGATGTATTTTCGTAGTATTAAGAAGAAAAGGATGAAGTGTTGTGTTTTATTGTGTAAAAACTACTCAGATAGACGCTCTGATGTTATGGATGGCATCACATTTCATTTGTAAATAATTGTACACCTAATTTATTAAAATAGTTCTAGAAAAATCTCTTGGCATTGGCTTTCAAATATAATTAAATATATTCCACACTAGATGGCGACACTTTGTGTCCTGTGAACAAAAAATATAAAGGTACGTAGAGCTCAGTAATGATAAAATAATCATACGAAGGTGTTAAAATTTGTTATGCATTAGACATAAAGAAATTTTAATCTTCAAAATATTATTTTTTAGTTTATAACATTTTGTGGATATGCCGCCATCTACCGTCAAGGTAGGTAAGCTACATTGCAACATTGATATGGAAAGATTCGAGTAGTTTTACTATTTATCGGTAGATGTAGATAGTGTAGTGGGCGGGGCTTTGCATCCCCTCACCCCGCAAATTGTCACGCGTTGTTTCATAGTGAAATTGAATTACAACGTCTCCTCTTTGTATTTGCTTCATGTGTGCAATGCAACACGCAATACAATGGTCAAGGACAGGAATTGAAGTGGACAGGGACGTGAAGGAGTGAGAGAGGTGTCGTGTCGGGATCGTGCTAATTAATTTAATTATTTAAATGGAAGTCTTTTCTTTCCCTTTCTATAGTGCGAGCGAGATGGAATAACATCCATCTCTCTCGCACTTTTTTTTATCTTGCCATGAAAGAAATATTATTTTAAATGACACTTCATTTTAATAGACGCCAGTAATTCATTTATTTGTATTTGTTAACTAGCTGTTTCCCGCGACTTCGCTAGTGTGTAATTTATGTTTTTAATTGTTTTGCGCGGAACCCTAATTGTTTTTCTTAAATAAAAGTAGCCTAAGTTACTCCTTATAACATCAGCTATTTTTCAGTGAAGGTCCTGTCAAAATTGGTCCAGTCGTTTCGGAGATTAGCCGGAACAGACAGACAGACAGACAAAAATTTTAAAAATTAAGTTTTGTTATTAGTACCGTACATACTTTCATATGCACATAGTAAAAAGCTGTTATTTTAACATTTCAATTTTATTTATTTGTATAGATAATAAACTACGAAAAGAACTTCGTTCCAACCGAGTATTCCACGACACTCACGCATGTTATCTTTTTTATAATTAGAAGTGATACGTCATACTTTTCATCACATCATATTGAATTCCACTGCTGAACATAGGCCTGTTTTCTTTGCTTCCTATTAATTTTGAGTTGTTATCGAGAAGATGCAACTACCCGTCTCTAGTTCAACTATGGGAGGCCTATAGTTCATAATAGTGGGCTTTTGATAGGCTGTAGTGATAAAAATAGAAATCGCCTGGTTCAGCCATTAAAATAGCATTCAAAGAAAAAAATACTATAAATATATCTTACGATAGAACGAATAACAAGATAAAGTACTACGAGTATATGCTTGTAACATAATCCCATTTACGACAATCGTGTTTTCATTCAATTGTCCCGAAATTGAAAATTACGGATAAAAAATTCCGGTTGCGTAATTCAGTTGTACGAAAATTACAATGATTAGTATTAAAATATTTTTAAATATATATTTTATAATGAATATCACGGCTTTAAATTACATTATAACCCTGAATTCTTACATCGCCATACCGTGTAGTGGCGGTGTAAGAATATCCACTACGGTGTAAGAATATCGTCCCGGGGGTCGCCGCCCAGAAGCCGCAGGTAAAAACTCAAAATTAATAAAAAATTGTGGTTGCCAACCTGACTACGCAGCGTGGTGACTGGCAAAATCCCCACTATGAGTTAATCTATAGGGGAGGCCTATGTTCAGCAGTGGACTTTTATAGACTGTAATGGATTGATCTCGACCATCATTATAGCCGTTCACAACTTCACTGCTGAGCGTAAGCCTCCCCCACAGAATGCTACAAAGCACGGTTCTGAGCTCCTATTCTATACAGATGGAGGCCGTGACGGAACCTTTCTTTCCATGGGTTGTCGGTTCTTTAAGCACTATGGCCGGCCCATTGTCACTCCAGTATAACAATCCGTTGGGCTATGTCCGTTACTCTACTGCGGATATCCTCATTTATAAGTGGATCACGCAGAGAGAGAGAGAGAGAGAGAGTGATATATATATCTATATATATAAATATATATATATATATATATATATATATATATATATATCTCGCTCTCTCTCTCTATGTTCAGCAGTGGACTTGTGAAGGGCTGTAATGATGATGGTGGTGTATATATATATATATATATATATATATATATATATATATATATATATAGAGAGAGAGAGAGAGAGAGAGAGAGAGAGAGAGAGAGAGATGAAATAAAACATTATTTTGTGCGCAATATAGGAAACTTACAGATAAATTAATAATTCTCAACTTAACATATTTTATTAAAAACTAGCCCAATTATTTCTTCCCCGGCGAGTTGCAGCCGCAGAAGAAATAATTATGGAAATATCGTTTTAAATTTGGAAGAATTATATTAATTGGGAATGCTATTGATCTTGAATGATAAATATAACTTTCAAATAGTAATATACGCGCGCAACCTACTGTAAATTATTTGTAATATGCCTACAACCTTCGCGCAAGTGTATGCAATAAGTTGACAGCTTTACCGTAATCTGATGAACGGTATGGCAGCGCATAAATTACGAACAAACAAACATTAAATTTTAAATAATAAAAGATACATGCTATCTTCTTGAAACAATCCGTCTTTAACTAGTGCGTATGAATTAACTTTTTAATTAATAATTCTACATTTTTTTTAAATATTTTATTAAAAATATATGCAACCTTCATGAAACAATCTGTCTTTAAGTACGTACGAATTAACTTTTTAATTAATAATTCTACATTTTTTAAAAATATTTTATTAAAAATATATGCAACCTTCATGAAACAATCTGTCTTTAAGTACGTACGAATTAACTTTTTAATTAATAATTCTACATTTTTTAAAAATATTTTATTAAAAATATATGCAACCTTCATGAAACAATCTGTCTTTAAATACGTACGAATTAACTTTTTAATTAATAATTCTACATTTTTTTAAATATTTTATTAAAAATATATGCAACCTTCATGAAATAATCTGTCTTTAAGTACGTACGAATTAACTTTTTAATTAATAATTCTACATTTTTTTTAAATATTTTATTAAAAATATATGCAACCTTCATGAAATAATCTGTCTTTAAATACGTACGAATTAACTTTTTAATTAATAATTCTACATTTTTTTTAAATATTTTATTAAAAATACATGCAACCTTCATGAAACAATCTGTCTTTAATTAGTATTTCTATAAACATTTTACATTATTGGTTGCGTGCTCACCTGATGAGGTGAGTGGAACTCGTGGCGTGGGCTGCGACGCGTTGTGATTATCGTCCCGCGGTGGGCTGGCGACTGCGCCCTCAGCGTTGTTGTTCGGGGGCCCGGGGCCTACGCCAGCAGCCGCTTCTAGCTGCAGCTAAAAAATTGTATAATTAAATATAATTACCCTTTATTGGCTTTATAAGAATATCCAATACTCCATATCATCCCGTGGGTGGCGTAATATGCGACAGAGGAAAACACATCAGGTGATGTGCAGAAACGTCTTTCTAATAATGACTCAAACTAAAAAACCCGCTTGCTAAGCATGGCAATTATGGCAAACATTCTCCTATAAAATAATATATGGGGAGGCCTACTTTCAGTAGTGAATTTTAATAGGCTGTAACGATAACTGATTTAATTTCTGTATTAGCTAATAATCACGGAGCATGTTCATTATCATTCATCAACATTATATTCCTTCACAAGTCCACTACTGAACATATGTCTCCCCCAAATAATGACACAAAGCACGGTCTTGAGCCTCCTGCACGGAGCATGTTGATTTTAAGTGAGTTAGAAAAGAACAAAATAAGATATTATTTCGCCATTTACAATACAATTAAAATATTTAACGAGGCGTTCTAGTTTACTGATATGTATAATCGAGGATTTTTTTAATAGAATAAAGGTGTTTTCACCTTTATTCTATAAAAAAGGTTGAAGAAGGTTTAGAGAGATGCAGAACCAGGATGGACTCAAACAATCGCCCTGGAAGATACCCCTTCTTATCCTTATGTGGTTCTCCGCAGCCATCATCCGCTCGCCTACATGACAAAGGATTGTACTCCACTGTACCATACACTGCCCCAGGAAGTTTCTAACTGTACAGTCAACCTTGTACATCTCAAGGACCCTCTTCAGCCATGTATGAGGCACCGAGTCGAATGCCTTTTTATAGTCTATCTAGGCGGCGGAAAGGTTCCGACGGTTTCGTTTAACCACCTTCCCAATGACCACGTCAATGAGGAGTGGTTCCTTGGATCCACGACCACCACCCCGACATTCATTTTGAGCGCGAGAATCACTCGTCACCTGTACTCAAATCAGGTATTGTCGCGCGCTCAAAATGGATGTCGGGGTGGTGGTCGTGGAATATATAAACTAATTTATTATAATAATAAGTTTTACTTCACTGTTGAACCCAACTACAATTTTGAAAACGTAACGTAAGTACTTTGCTTAGATAAGTGAAAACTATGGAACATTGAACCCTGCCAGCCCTTTTCAGGGCTGCAATTCTACTCAGCTGCGCACCCATGCCAATGAGGGTTAGGGCGTCCCCCCAAGGCGACGCACACCAGTTCGTCCCCGTTGGTGTGAAATGCAGCGCGCAAAGCGGCGATGGGGACCGCCACCCGTCACGCACAGCCCGACACGGCGGAAGGTGGAGGACAGAGTGCAGAGTTGGCACGTGGAATGTTAGAGGAGACATGAGAGATAAGACGAATGAGCTAATCGAAATAATGAAAGAAAGAGAATTAGATGTCGTGTGTATGTCGGAGACCAAACGGAAGGGCAGTGGTACTGAAGAGCTCCCTGGCGGGGCGTTAGCTCTATGGTCCGGAGTCCCGGAGAGCGAGAACGCCTGCCAGGGAGTGGGGGTGCTGCTGTCTTCTCGGTTGGTCGATGTTATGACTGAATATAAGGTTGTGAACTCAAGACTTCTCTGGGTTCGCTATAAATTGGGACTGACGAAGTTATTCCTTTTGGCTGTTTATGCGCCGGTAGCTTCGTCGTCCAGGGCTGAGCTGGAGGAGTTTTGGGAGAATGTAAGAGAAGTTCTAGATTTGGCTAGGGGAAACGAAAGAATTGTTGTATGTGGGGATTTGAATGGATGGGTTGGTACCGCTCGACCAGGGTACGAGTCGGTACTTGGAAAGTTTGGCGATAAAAGGGTTAATGATGCTGGCAAGCTTATACTGGCGTTGTGCAAGGAAAAGGGTCTTCTTGTGACAAACACTATGTTTAATCACAAGAAAATCCATATGTATACTAGAGAACGAAAGAATGAGAAAAGTATGATCGATTTGTTCCTGGTGGATGACCGACTGCGAAAACAGGTGATAGATACGCGAGTGTTCAGGGGTGCTGACCTGGGAACGGATCACTATCTAGTGATTACTAGATTTAGGGGTCTGTTCGCGGGTTGGCGCTACCGGACGGCAGTAACAGAACCACAGTCGGTCTGTCGCATCCGAAGCTGGAAGCTTCAGGAAGCGGATACTAGGAACAAATATCATGCGAGGGTAGCCGAAAAGCTTGACACCATCGATGGCAGAAAAGAATGTGTAGAAACAACATGGCAGAACCTTATGGATGGAATGGTAAGTGCAGCGGAAGAAGTGTGTGGAACAATAAAAAGAGGCAGTAGTAAAAGAAGAGATGCATGGTGGAATGATGAAGTGAAAGAAGCTGTAAAGAAGAAGAAGAAAGCATGGTTAGACTACTTGGCCTCTAGTAATGATAAGGATATGAGAGAGAAGATGAAAGAAAGATATAGGCTGCAGAAAGTTCACACGAAAGCACTGATTGAGGAAGTGCGTGAAAGGTGTAGAATGGAAGCGGAAGAAAGGTTGTCGCACAACTTTAAGGAGAACTCCAAACTCATCTGGAAAGAGGTTGGAAGGACCCGAAGTGGTGCGACGGCCTTAAGAATGAACAAAGTGCTTTCGAGAACTAATGACGTCCTCTCAGAAAAATCGGACGTCATGCAGCGATGGAGCGAATTTTATAGAGAAATGTATGCGTGTGATGATCTTAGTGAGGGATCCGGGGATGACGCCGTGACTGGTACGCCAGACCCGGACCTCGATGACACTGAGGTCATCAGTATGAAAGAGATTGAACGTGCGATTCGAAGTTTGAAATATGGTAAGGCTGCGGGACTAGACAGAGTTACTGCTGAAATGGTCAAGTATGGTGGGCCTCGCGTCTGGGACAGCTTCCATCTGCTGTGCAATTTGTGCTGGCGGACGGGGGATGTCCCGGATGATTGGCGATCCGCAGTCATTGTGCCTTTATATAAAGGTAAAGATTCACATTTTGACTGCGGGTGCTATCGGGCGATCAGCTTGACCAGTTTAGCAAGTAAAGTTTACTCGAAGGTTTTGACACGTAGGATGCAAGAGAAATCGGAAAGATTTCTATGGGAGGCACAATGCGGATTTAGACCTGGAAGAGGATGCACGGATCAAATGTTTTCTCTCCGCATGATCACGGAAAAGCTTCTGGCTGCTAACCAGAAGATTTTCTGTGCTTTTGTGGATCTTGAGAAAGCATTTGATAAGGTTGTAAGGAAGAAAATGTGGGAACTGTTGCCGGGGTATGGTGTGGATGGTCGATTGCTAAGGGCTGTGCAGTCTCTTTACTGTGACTGTAAAGCCTGTGTGCGGGTAGGGCATGACCTGTCACCCATGTTTAACGTCCAAACGGGCGTAAAGCAGGGTTGTGTCATGTCCTCCTGGCTGTTCATACTGTATCTCGACAGCTGTTTACAGAAGCTGAAAGATAGCTGTTTGGGTGTGAAATTGGGTGACATAAAAGTAAATTGTCTGCTGTATGCTGATGATGCAGTGCTTATTGCTTCATCAGAGGCAGAACTGCAGGCATTAGTCACGTGTATGAAAGAGGAATGTGAAATTAAAGGTCTCCGTTTGAATGCTAATAAAACTAAGGTTCTGGTATTTGAAAGGGACGAAGAGAGAACGAAGTGTGAAATATGTGTAAATCAGGAATGTCTAGAACAGATAAATGAAATTGTATACTTGGGGAGTGCTTTTAGCCGGGATGGAAGATGTGATTTAGATGTGGACAGGCGTGTCGCTGCCGGGAACAAAGTCATTGGTGCCCTGACTGCGTTAGTCAAAAGGCAAGGCGTAGCGAAGAGTGCACGCCTTGCAATACATAACGCAGTGTTGGTACCGACTTTGTTATATGGCAGCGAAACCTGGGTATGCCAGAAGAAGCATAAAAGTAAGTTGAATGCAGTGGAGATGCGATCTCTTCGTAAAATGTGCGGCGTTACCATGGCCGACCGAAAGCGAAACGAAGAGATTCGCAATATGGCAGGTTTGAAAGATGACCTTATCACAAAAATTGATAAGGGCGTGCTTCGGTGGTTTGGGCACGTTGAGCGAATGAGTGAAGACCGAATGGTGAAGAAAATATATAGCGCGAAAGTTAATATTAAAAGGTGTCGAGGTAGACCGAGACTAACTTTCGAAGACCATGTGAGCAAATTGCTCGAAGAGGGTAGGGTCAGGAGTACTCGGATACCTAGACGTGCATGCATGAAGAAGATAATGAATCTGAAAGAAGCGAAAGAGGTTTGTAAGGATCGTGACACTTGGCGATCTGTTCTCTCTGGCTACCCCGTTAGGTATTGTGCGTGAAGATAAGTAAGTAAGTAAGTAAGTATGGAACATTGTCGTGTGGTGTCATACGGAATGGTAATATCGACCAAAAATATCCTTGAATTTGCCCGACCCATCAGCACAATATCAGGCTTATTAGCAAGAATAGTCCTGTTTGTAATGATGGCTCGGTCCCAGTAGAGCCTGGTGCGGTCATTTTCGAGCACGGCTTCCAGCAAGTACTTATAATATGGCAGTTTCCGATCCACGAGGCCGTATTTCAGAGCGAGCTCCTGGTGTAGAATACTGCCCACTAGGTTGTGTCTGTGCACATACTCAGAGTTAGCAAGCGCCGAACAACCGGAGATGATATGCCTAAGTGACTCACCGGGATGGCGCCAAGCTCGACAGATGGGATAATTGATAGTCTTGATAACCTGATCCTGTATCGCACAGACAAAACCCTCGGTTTCCCCAAAGAGGTCACCAAAACTCAGCCAATGGAGGGAGGCGACTGTATGTACGAAATGCTCATGTAGAGCCTTGTAGAACCTCCCGTGGAGTTCCTTCTCCTACGGTTTCCCGGTCGAAAATGCACTGTACTACTGGGTCTTGTCATTGGTCGTTAGCTAAGGATAGAGGAGTAAGCCCTTTATCACACGAAATGACGTCACTGTAGAATAGATCATCCGATTTCGTCAGGAAGTAATTACGCACACGCACACGCACACGCACTCGC